GGGGAGGCGACACCTGGTGTGTCCACAGCATCTGCTTCGCCACCGGGACCAGGCGGGAAGGGGAGGTGCAGGTTGGGATGGGGAGATGTCTCCAGCGGGAGTTAGGCATCCAGGAGCTGGGAGTCAGCAGTGGGGTGTTGTTATTGTTAGGTGCCGTTGAGTTGGTTCCGACTCATAGCGACCCTACGTACAATAGAACGAAACACTGCCCAGTCCTGCACCATCCTCACAATCGTTGTTGTGCTTGAGCTCATTGTTGCAGAGACTGTGTCAATCCTCCTCGTTGAGGGTCTTCCTCTTTTTCGCTGACCCTCCACTTTACCAAGCATGATGTCCTTCTCCAGGGACCGGTCCCTCCTGATAACATGTCCAAAGTACGTGAGATGAAGTCTCACCATCCTTGCTCCTAAGGAGCATTCTGGCTGTACTTCCTGCAAGACAGATTTGTTTGTTCTTCTGGCAGTCCATGGTAGAGTCAATATTCTTTGCCAGCACCGTAATTCAAAGGCATCAATTCTTCTTCGGTCTTCCTTATTCATTGTCCAGCTTTCCTATGCATGTGAGGTGATTGAAAATACCATGCCTTGGTTCAGGTGTACCTTAGTCCCCAAAGTGACATCTTTGCTTTTCAACACTTTAAAGAGGTCTTTTGCAGCAGATTTGCCCAATGCAATCCGTCATTTGATCTTTTGGCTACTGCTTCATGGACATTGATTGTGGATCCAAGTAAAATGAAATCCTTGACAACTTCAATCTTTTTTGTGTTTATCTTGATGTTGCTTATTGGTCCAGTTGTGAGGTTTTTTTGTTGTTGTTGTTGTTGAGGTGCAATCTATACAACAGTGGACTGGGGTGGGTTAAACGCCTAATGAAATCCCAGACTGTCCCTGCCACGGCTGTGAATGTGATCGTGTATGAGGGATCACTCTGTGCTGGTCTGGTTTTGTAGCATTCCTAACTGTTGACTTCTGTCTGGGCCCCCAAGTCCAGTCTCTTTTTGGTCTCAGCTCTCCCATGTTCTGCTAGGCACATTCTCTAAGCCAGGGGTGTACAGACTTTGCAGACAGTCCTAAGCTTTATTTTAAAAGATGTCATTCAGTTGTGATGGAGTAGTTTTATTTAAATATCCACACTCCTAAATTTACATTATGGGGAGATGGTCCAGTGTGGTTAGGAGCTCGGGGATTAGACTCAGCTAGACCTGGGTTTAGGTCCTTTGCTCCTCGTTTACTAGATGTATGACCTTGGGCAAGTTACTTAGCTTCTCTGAGTCTCAGAGAACATTGGACTAAGGGTTAAATGAGCTAATGCACATAACTGCTTTTCCTTCTGCTGGCATGTAGTAACCATGAACTAAATGGTTTCTACAATTTATTATATGAAATCTATGCTTATATATGATAGAAAGCAAATGCCCCATCTTGGGGGACAACGCTCAATCCTATTTGCTTGGCTTTATGGGGTTGCGTTTCGGAACAAACACTCCCCACAGGACTTAGAGATAGGAGGAGAGAAGACAATGGCGTCCCTAGGTGGGGTGCAGGGAGTGCGAATCATACAAGGTGATACTGTCAGAGGAGTTGACACCAAAATGATTGTAAAATTTTTGTGTGGTGTTTCAGCAGAAATTTATTTTTTATGAAAATATCCCTGCAGTTAGTTATAACAACAAAAACATTTTTCGTAAGTCTAGCTTACATGTATCAATATACCTACAAGGCTAAAACTCTATGCTGATTTACTTTTTGAATCTTCTAATGCCCTCCGGTCAGAGCTGTCATTATCCAATTACAATGACTCTTCAAATCATGTTTTCATCTGCGTGCATTATAAGCTGCTGTTTTCATTGCTGCCGGTGTCACTGATTTTGTCAAAATTTCTGGTGTTTTAGCTACAACATTGTGGTAATTAGTATTTGTGAACCTATATCAGTACGAGAGGAGGTCCATGGTGGGGGTGGGGGGGACACCAACCCTAGTGACACCACTGGAAGAAGGTTGGAGTCAGAGGTCATTTCCTTGAGCAGCCAAACATAAAGCCTCCCCACCCTGTGTACAAACCCTGTGCCAGACATCTTGGACAACTCAGCCCGTCCAATGCCAGCGTCTGACTTTTCCTCCTCTTTGCTAACGTCTCTTCCTCTCACTGTGGTCAAGACCCCTGGCTTCCCTGGCCATTTTGTTCTCCTCACTCTTCGAGTCTCCCTGGACCTACTGAATCAGAATCACTAAACAGAGGCCTGGGGACCCGAATTTTCACAAAGCTCCTCTGATCCTGATGCGTGTCCTGCCACTGTGGATCTACAGCCCTCACTGTTTTCTGAGGGAAGAAGACTGTTTCTCCGTCAGTTCTCTCCCTTAACTACATACCTGGAGACATCACAGCAGGCACCAGAGGACTTCACTGGGGTAGCCCTGAGGCTGTGTGAGGGGACCCAGCCCTCTAACCTAGTCCTTTCCTAGGAGGATGGCCTTTGGTGTGGGTTCAGGTAAAAGTGACAGGAATCGTGGGAACAGGAGGCCAGATTGTGTGGGCAGGGGACTTTCTCCCCTTCTTCAGAAGCAGTCCTGCCCAACTCCTAGGCCAGGTGAGCCTTCTGGAGCAGCGCGAGGTAGCAGCCCTGGAGAGCCTGAGGAACACTGGGAACTGGGTGACAAAGTGGCCCTGAAATGCCTTCATTGTGAGGAGCCCAAAGAGAAAAGTTTGCAAATCTTCCAATCGCTAATACCCCTCATGCAGATCCACCTTTCATCCAGGGGGCCAGTTCAGTCATTCAACAGAGCAAAATGTTTCCTGAGCACTTGCTCAATGCCAGACACAGACCTAAGACTTAGGAATACTGAGCTGAATCCCATGTCTCTGAAAGGCCTATATGGTCTCCTGAAGTGATTTTCATAAGAGAGTTCTGATGATCTACTGTGCAAAATAACCTGGGGTGATTTGTTAGAGTCCCTGGGTAGTGCAAATCGTTAAGCACTTGGCTGCTAACCAAAAGGTTGGAGGTTCAAGTCCACCCAGAGGTACCTTGGAAGAAAGGCCTGGCAATCTACTTCCAAAAGATCACAGCCATTGAAAACTCTATGGAGCACAGTTCTACTCTGACACAAATGGAGTCACCATGAGTCAGAGTCAACTTGATGACAACTAGTTTGGTTTTGCTTTTGGTTTGTTAAAAATATAGATGACTGAGCCCCCTAAACCCATGTCTACTTATGCAGAATTCCCAACGGTGAGGCCCAGGCACATGCATTTTTGGAAAAGCCCCTGGTAGAATCTTACTTACTCTGAAGTTTGAGAACCCCTGGTCTGGTGGAAGTTAGCTACCTAAAAAAATATTTTTTAATGACCCAGTAATGTTTTTTCACATGTAAACAAAAAGAAGTTAAAACCACTTATAATTCTGCCTTCCTAAAATAATCATCCTTGACATTTTATTCAATGCCCCTCTAGATACATGTGCACGTGTATGTACATACACATACACACATACACATGCATATGTAGGTATATATACATGTGTGTATCACACGCACAGAGAGACACACAGGCACACACACAGTTGGCCCTCGGTATCCATGTGCTCTGCATCCATGGATTCAACCAATCTCTGATCTAAAATATTTTTTAAAAAAAGAAAGTTCCAAAAAGCAAAACTTGAATTTGTGCACGCCGAGCACTGCGCTGAATCCACGTGAATGAAGTGATGTGTAGACGCATACCCTGCTGTAGCCTTCTGCCACTTCACAGATTCTCAGTCTCTCTCTAGCATTCATTGCTTGAGCATTGTTCGCCTCCCTTCTCGTTCGGTTGATACTTGTGTGCACCCTTTGTTTCTGTGAAAGAATGGCTCCTATGAAGCAATGAAGTGGTCAGAGCAATCCTTCGAAGGCTCGGTGTGAGGGGTTGAGGACAGTGAGAGGAAGGAGTTTCAGGCTAGTAAGGGATGGCTGGCTAGCTCTGGAAAGTGCTCCAGCCTCAAGAGCTTAAAGATTACGGGAGAACCAGCTTTGCCTGATGCCCAGGCAGCATCAGCATTCCCAGAAGAGCTCTGGAAAGTCACAGAAGAGAAAGGCCACCTTCCAGAACAAGCCTTCAATGGTGATGAAAAAACTTTTTACATAGCATTTACATTGTACTAGGTATTATAAGTAATCAAGAGATGATTTAAAGTATATGCGAGGATGTGTGTAGGTTATACGGAAATACTATGCCATTTTATATAAGGGAGTTGAGCATCCACAGATTTTGGTATCCATGGGGCTCCTGGAACCAATCCCCATGGATACTAAGGGACCACTGTATGTGTCTGTTTGGACATATATATATAGCACCCACATGGTACCTGTCTTAGTCATCTAGTGCTGCTCTAACAGAAATACCACAAATGGATGGCTTTAACAAAGAGAAATTTATTTCTTCACAGTAAAGTAGGCTAAAAGTCCAAATTCAGGGCATCAGCTTCAGGGGAAGTCTTTCTCTCACTGTCAGCCTTCTCATCAATGTTCCCCCGTACAGGGAGCTTCTCTGCGCAGGGACCCCGGTCCAAAGGACGCGCTCTGCTCCTGGTACTTCTTTCTTGGTGGTATGAGGTCCCCAATTCTCTGCTTGCTTCCGTTTCCTTTTATCTCTTACAAGAGATAAAAGGTGGTGCAGGCCACACCCCAGGGAAACTCCCTTTATGTTGGATCAGGGATGTGACCTGGGTTAGGGTGGTGTTACAATCCCACCCTAATCCTCTTTAATGTAAAATTACAATCACAAAATGGAGGACAACCACGCAACACTGGGAATCATGGCCTAGCCAAATTGATACACACGTTTTTGGGGGGCACAATTCAATCCATGACAGTACCTAACACTGTGCTAAGCCCTGGTGACAGAGATGAGAAAAAGTATGGGTCTAGCCATGGAGCCCCCCACAGTCATGTTAAATGATGCCTGGTACAGTTTGATGCCCAGCTGTGGTCACCTGCTCACCTGCTCTTACATTTTCCCTGTAGGTCTACATCATCAATGTGACCTGGTCTGACTCCACCTCCCAGACCATCTACCGGAGGTACAGCAAGTTCTTTGACCTGCAGGTGAGTTTGCCTGAGCTCAGATGGTGCTCAGTTCCACCCAGTGTGGCCAGAGTCACTGGTGGACTGACACCTCTCCTGTCCTCACTGATCTGAAGAGCACCCTGCCCAAGCTCTCAGGGTCAGAGGTAGATGGGAGCAGAGGGACAGATGAGGGAAACTGAGGGCTGAACTGGCTTATCTCAGTCTGGGATATTGCAGGCAGACACTTGGGGCTTTGTTGGCGTCCTCAGATTGTCTTAACAGTCATGCTTTGTCACCCTCCTTTGCCCGAAAGCTAGGAAACCACAGTGGAGAAGGCAGGAGGATGGCTGTGGGTGCTGCATGCATGAGCAGACGTGTGTCTATAAACACCAGGGTGAGACACAAGCCGCCATATCATTGCAGGCAAATAAAAACAAACACACAGAGAAAACCGAAACAGAAAATAAGCAATTTCTTGAACTGCAGACACAAACTGGGCATAATACTATGTCTGTCTAAGCGAAAAAGTATCTTGCCTCAATGTTAGTATGTGTGTGTGGTAGGCATGTATGTCTAATATACATACTCACACAGGGAGATGGTAGTATGAGTCCCACCACTGCCATCACAGACACCTTCTTTGATGCCAACTACTTTAGTTAGGTTTCCTTTGGTTACAAATGACAGCTTTCTACTCATACTGGCTGAGGCAAAAAGGGGACTTGGTTGGAAGGATATACTGGGGAAGCTTATGCAGTTGACCAGATGGTAAAAAGGGTAGTGAGGGAATAGACTTCAGAAACACCTAGAACCAGGGGCTGCCCTCTCTCTGTCTTGTCCCTACTTCCCTCTGGGCACTGTCCTTAGCTTCTTTTACTTCATCCCTTTCCCCCACACCCTAAGGAACTTGACTGCTCCTAAATTTCATGTCTGGTGGCTGCCAAGAGTAGAGAGACTGACTCTCTCCCAGTTCCAAGTTGAAAAATCTCAAGGAAGACTCTGATTGGCGTGATTTGAATCTGGTGTCCTCTCTGGACCAATCAGTATGGCCAGGGGTAGAGAGTCATGTAGCACAGACAAGGCCACTAGGGGATACACTTCTGTGTATCAGAGGCAGGTACTAGAGAAGGGAGCATCACTGTGAGTTGGATAACAACCCTTCCTGTACTAGGAAGGGAAAGCCAAGTTGTTCTAGATTCTTCCTTAAGACCATGAGCCTGGTGTAGGCCAATAAAAATGCAAAGGGACCCTCACAACCAGGGTTCCACTCTTTCCTGCGCCAGGACTTTGGTGGTGAGTCATTTTGGAGAAACCAGAGCTTGTATTTTTGCCTCCTAGTACCTGACTTTTATACCATTGTCCTTATTGCTCTTCCTATGACAAGAGCCAAAATTAAACCAACTTCCAGTATGAAAAATCTTCTCTTAATCCAACAAAATGGGATTAAAAGCCACTCCTTATTCTCCTCCCTTCTTCCTCTTTCCCCCTTAATTCCTGTCCTGTCTCCTTGGGTCCTTGAGGCAAAAACTGGTAGGATATGCTGATACCACATCAATGGGTGTAGTGTACTGGACAGGAAATGATAACTCAGTTGGGGAGTTGGAACCCTGAAAAGACTCATTGATGAGTCGGAGGGGGTCCAAAATCAGCGGAAACTCCCAAATCAGAATGTTTCTTCCTTCTTTTCCGTTTTGGCTCCCCACCCCCTCCCTAGTTACAGAATCTCACAAGAAAGGAATGCAGCCCACCCCACCTCTCCCTTGCCTGGAGGGCTCGTTTCCTGTGTGTCAGAGGGGACATATAAGCAGAGGGGAAATATACGCATAGAGCAGCTTGTGAGATGTGCTGGGCCCTAGCCTTGGAATGGCCATGGGTGTGACAAGGCTTGTCCATGTGGGCCATCACCATCCTGCAGATACAGTTTGGGAAGGCATGGAGGATGGTTCTTTGGAATTTAACCTTTGAGCCAAGTAACATGTTTGGGAACCCATTTTACAGAACTCATGCCATGATGACTTTTAGTGATGTTCATGTTGGAAAGCCTTACTTACTTTTCAGGGATTTCAATATGGCAGCCCCCATAGAGGAGTTAAGGAGCCCTGGTGGCACAGTGGTTAAAACGCTCAACTGCTAAGGTCCGCAGTTTGAACCCACCAGCCACTCTGTGGGAGAAAGATGTGGCAGTCTGCTTCCATAAAGATTTATGGCCCTGGAAATCCTATGAGGCAGTTCTACTCTGCCCTATAGGGTCACTGTGAGTCATAATCGACTCGATGGCAATGGATTTGGTTTTGGTTTTATAGAGGATTTACAAACGGAATAGCTAACTCCATCTCTGGTCAATGGTCGCCCTCAGAGCTCAGCTTTCTGAGGGGCTATGTGGGAGAGTGGCTTACAGCTTATGTGCTGGGGACACATTGCCTGGAGCTGGTTACTGGCTCTCACTGTGTGCCCTTGAATAGGTTACTTCTCTAGGCTCAGTTTTCTCATCTGTAGAATGGAGATTTCAGTAGTACCCACCCAGAAGGGTTTTTGTGAGGATTAAGTGAGCTAATACACATTTTCCCTGATATTTAGTTGTATATTGAGTTATCCTGGTATTACCAGGTGACAAAGACATTGGGCTGCACGATTGAAGGTGTCTGGGTGCTTAGCACCTACTATCATGGTGTTGCTTTGTTGTCTCCCTCACTTTGCTTCACTCTATACTGATGAGCTGCTCTGGTCCCAGTTCTGTGTCAGAATATTCTGAGTCATGGAAGCCACTGACACTGCCTCTCTGGAGTTTGCCGTTGGGCAGGATGGGAGTCTGTTGGGAGTGGGGTATGGCCCACAGGAATGGTGCTCTCAGTAACCTTTTGCTCCTCCCATTTTTGGCTAAGACTTACCTTGGAACCCTCGAAGTCCTGGGCTCACTAAGCCAGCCTGGAGGAAGCGGCTTAACTGGCTTCAGCAACTCATGGTTCAAGGTCTTGTGGGGACCACAGATCCCTTTGTGTATCTGGTGGAAGCTCTTGCCCCAGAAAAAGAGCATGTATGTACAATTTTGGGAGTCCCTGTATGCTGCAAATGGTTAATGCACTTGGCTACTAACCAAAAGGTTGGAGGTTCAAGTTCACCCAGAGATGCCTTCGAAGAAAAGCCTGCTGATCTACTTCGAAGAAGTCAGCCATTGAAAACTCTGTGGAGCACAATTCTATTCGGACACACATGGGGTTACCATGAGTCGAAATTGACTTGATGGCAACTGATTATGTGCAATTTGTTTACAATGTTAGGTGTTCATAGACCCCTTTGGGCCCCCAGCGAAGAACCGCTGAGCTAAATCAGCTTAGATAATTCATCATATAGTCACATCTTGTGCTACTTGGGCACCACTGGGGGGTTTATACACAATATTCAGATAATAGCAGCAGGCCTGGATACCCACCCTTTTGATAGACCCCTCAATCCCCTCCGTCCCACCGGTTGGTTTCTTTGTCTCTAGCATGGGTATCCCCATACTTTCTCTCTCTTATTTCTCTCTCTTCAAATGGTGTCATTTGTTCCTGGTGGAGGTTATGTTACCCTGAGGAGGCCTTGGACTCTGGGCTTTCTAATGTAACCTGGGAATCTTGTGCAAAGTGATACTGGGCGATCCCTGACCCTCCTCGGGTGGTGGGTCGAGGGCCATGGGGTATATGCAGATTCACTTTCACTTGGACTAGCACAGGTACCCTCCAGTGTCTACTTCCCCTTCCGGGGGACAAACGGGGAGATGGACAAGCCATACCCTGCCCTTCACACTCCATAGCCAATGAGCTTGGAGAGGCTCAAGCACCCAGGAAGCATTTGAAGGATGCTCTGTTATAGAGCTGATGGCTGATAGCTGGTTTTTTCATTTCTCTCCGTGAAGATTCTACATCAACATAGCCGTTTCCCCTCCCCTATGTGCAAACTCAGATTCGAGGTTGAACATCACTCTGGGTTATCGTATTCAAAGCCAGGACCTAACTGCTCTGTGTGTGGAGCTCAGGAATTCCTTAGGAATGAACAAGCTAAGGCACACTCCCAGGCAGCCAGCACTTAGGGGCCGCAGATAGGAGGGAGGTAAGACCAGAAGGGTTTGTGCTTGGAGGAGAGCCATTGTTCCTTTGAGGTGACCCATGGCATTAATGAATCCTCAACAGGGTACTTAGAACTGTCATGGAGTAGTGGGGAGCTATTCATGTGAGGTGGGGGAAGTTATGGAGTTTGAGGAGAGAAACACAGATAACCTGGTAACTGTTCATTCCATGCTTATCTGAAGCTTAGGATTGTACAGAGCAGATTCATTTATCTCTGTATTCCTGCCACCCCCCACCCCCCCCACACACTTCACTTACTGGCTGTCTGTTATGAGGCCCTGGATTAGGGTTGCCAGATAAAATACAAGATGCCCAGTTAAATTTGAGTTTCAAAGAGACAATGAATAATTTTTTAGTAAAAGTCTGTCCCAAATATTACATGGGGTATACTTGTACTAAAAAAAATAAAATTGTTGTTTCTCTGAAATTCAAATTTAACTTGGCAGCTTGTATTTTTATTTGCTAAATCTGGCAAGCCTGCTCTAGCTATGAGTGTGTGAGTGGTAAGGGTGGAAGTAAAAGGATGAGTAGTCCAGGCCAGCTTGGATGTGAGTGGGTTGGCCTGTGCTAAGACCTCTAACACATTTGCTCTTTGCAGAGTAGAAGTGGAAAACGTGCTGGAGAACGCAAAATTGAGACGGACAGGTTCCTTCCTTCCAAGAGTCTATATCTAGAAGGGAAAGCAGACTTTTAAGCAATTAAGTCCACTATAAATGAAATAAACACTAGATCGAGGTATAAGCAGCATGCTATGGAATGACGAGGGATGAAAGAGGAGGAGGGACAAAGAAAATGCTCGTACGGTGACCACAGCCTTGAGTGATACAACCTCCCCCCAACCCCTCCGTTTGTGGGATTTTTTTTTTTTTTTTGAGAGTCATGGTTATCAGGGTAAACTGTGTCCCTAGTTTGTTCATTCATCCCTTCCTTCCT